TTAAGTGAAAACAGGTCACTGCATACTTCGGAAGAAGAATAACGCAAAAGTACTGAAAGATTCAAATAAGAACGTGTTTTATTTTTTTAAATGTACGACATAATCCTTATTTAATAATTCAGATATGTGTTTTTAACTGCTAAAGTATGTTTTCTTTTCCTATGTTGAGACTGTTTATGAAACTTACTATAAATATAGATAGTTTGGAAATCTGTCTAAAAAAGAAGACTCAAAAACCACGAACTTGCATATGTTAAATAACTTTTACATTTTCATCCATAAAAAATCGCCCAATTTGTGCCAAGATGGTTGTGATAGTATGAAGATACCTATTTTTTAAATTACAAGATCTAGAAAATTATGCATTAACCCTTTGCACTTCAGAGGTGACTCTCGCTCACCACTTGGCTTGATGCATAACAATAACTGTTTATGTTTAATTTCTTCGAAGCGAATTCCTTCACACCTTCTAATAGAGATGGAGATAAGGTTTTCTTATCTGAAATCTTATCTATCACAGAGTCTGTTCTCAGAGAAATGAACTTGGAAGAAGGCATCAAACAACATATTGTAATACAGTCAAACGTCTTTAATCCGGATTCATAGGGACTTTCGCGATTCCGGATTATGGATCATCAGTTTAAATCTGGTAAGATGGCATGCAGAAATTATAAAATTAAAAATATGAAACCGTAATTTATGAAATAAAGAGCAATTATGATCTAAAGGGATCAAAATTTACAAAAAAAAAAAAAAAAAGCTTAATATTTATTTGTTTACTTTATTAAACATTTCTTTCAACGTGCGCATGCGTAAGGCATACATTATGCATAGTCTAAATTACAAAATTGCAACCAGCAAACTATTTGATGTGTATTCGTGATATTTATAATGACGAGTAATTTGATTTAAATCATATCAAAGATGGAGTACATCGAAATGAAATACTACATTTAGTAAGGAATTATAAGGCGAATAAAATAAAAAATCTGCCCTGAAGATAAGCATAGTGCTGACAGATCAACTTCCAGTTCATTGCACACCGCAACGTTTCCTCCCCCCCTTCCGCAGAGCAGCGTGAAATTAATAAACAGATTTCGGAATGGGTAGAGAAACAAAGGATATGCCTTTATCCATTTTTTGCAGTAATTCCACTTTTTGTTTGATGGACATCGAAACATGCTTTCGCTTTGTAGATCCTTTGGCAGCTCCAGAATCGGAAATTCTTTTTGATATAATCGAAAGTTGAAGCTTACTTTTATAAGATTGCTCTAACAGTCTGCAAAAAATAAGCCGGATCCAATTAGATTAAGGAACAATGCAATCTGCAACATTAACTGAGATAGATAATTAAATAATTTTTAGCTTATACCATTCATTATACATATCCGTTATATTATTATGCGCATGCGCAGAAAGTTTGTTGCTTTGAGGTCCGGATTATGGACGTCCGGATTAAAGACTTTTGATTGTACTTGCCCCAAAAGCCTGGCATGCATCTTGGGAATTGTTACATGAAATATCGTGCACAGAAAAATTAGAGGCTAATATTTAAGAAATTATGTTTATAAAAGTGTAAAGATAGTGTAAAATGTTAAAATATAGAAATTTTATAAATTTGTGCGGGGAATGATTTTAAGTTACTGGAAATAAATGCTTTAAAAAGGCTGCAAAACGTCTCGAGTTGTTGGTGCGTAGCGTGAAAAAGGGCCCCTGAGTGCAAAGGGTGAATAGACATGATATGCAACTTTGTTTCAAAACAAATAAACAATAGTGATGCAACATGAAGAATTATGACAAGCAATTTAAGTTTTTTATTTGTTACATAGGTAACTTACATTTGTTGTTTATCTAACTACATAAAGAGCAAACTTTTCAAATGATTGGGACAGGTTTGGTGGTATCTCTGCCAACTGTCACGATTAACAGGTTTTGTATTCGGATGAGATGTTTTACTTTCATGTGTTTAAGGCCTCTGAAAGTATTTCTCTTTCTATATCTGAAATGCAATTTATAAAAAAAAATTACACAATTTTAAATGTAAACTTTTACAAGTTAATAATAACATTACTGTTTTTAAGAATTTTAGGTTGGAAGCTTCTTCTTGCATTCATTTGACTTTCTTACTATCAAGAATGTTCATGTATTCGGTGTTTCCCAAAACTTCTGAAAATTCGAACTTTTACTATTACATTTAGTATTTTTCAGGTTTTCATTATTTGTACAACAAAGGATGGATCTCACATTTAAGACAGACATAAAATATGTTTAATGTATGAGATAAAAATTTTGTTAGATCTTTTACCAATGTTTCAGAACTAGATCAAGGAATAAATTTTTCAGTAGCACAAAACGTAGGATATCTACAAAATTCTGAAACTTTGTCTCATGACTCCAGACTTCTTATTTGCTTTTGATATTTATTAAAGAATTTACAGAATACTGAACTGTTATTAGAATGCAATGGTAGACTGTTCAGCAAATTACTCATATGTGGATCATAACATATATGCCCCCCACCAGATCATATTTGTAATAAAGTAGTGAGATTTTTCAGATAATGAGGCTAGTAGTAATATTTGAATTCTTATAACTTCTCATAAACTGCTCAAGCAAGAATAAAACTAATGGCACCATTTGATGCAAAAGAGTCTGTAGATTCTAAAACAAGTCAGAGAGCCATTCTAGCTGCAGCAGTTGTAAAGAAAAGCCATCAAATTTGGGTGTGTGTGGGGGGGTATTTTAATTTTTGAGGGCAAAATCTTCTGCTTGTATCACCAAAAATTTTTTAAACAAGTTTTAGCAGTTGTGTAGTTTTCATTGTCATTTACACCTCTTAAATTTTGCTTTATACATACATTTTGCATTTATTCTGAATGTCCTGAATTGATAAATTTTCTTTTCTTTTAGAATATTCTCCTCCCCCCCCCCTGTTCTGACTTGTTAAATTTATGTAATGTTATTCTTCAGCGCTTTCAGTCCAATTCTTAAGCTCACCTATCTTAAAGTACTTTCGAGTTTTAGTTCAGTTAAATTTGTTTTAGCTTTTTTTATTAAATAGAGTTGAATTTTGTTTCAAAATTTTAAAATGTACTTCTGTATTTTTAAGTTCTGGCTCTGTTTTCAGAAGAGATTGAATGCACAAGTCCTTTAAAAGGTTAACAAAATTTATTCTTATCACAAGAAATATAACAAAAACGCTAAATTTTTCCTCAAAGATATTAGTACAAAATCTCAGTATCATGCAATGTAATCAGTCACTATATTTTAAACTACTCGAATGTTAAGTAGAACGCAATCCACAGCGCAGGGAAAGCTAATCCGATCTCGCTGCAAATTTGCTGCAATCAACAACATTAAAGTAAACAACTGAACTGAGATGTTTCTTTCTGGCATTTTAAAGCTTTTTAGTTGGACACAAAAAAGTTTTGGTAATTTCTCTTTTCATCTCGAGATTTCTGGAAAGCAAAAGAGTAGACTTACGGTTACAGCTAACATAGTAGTCAATTACATTTATTCAGTTTAAATATAAGTTATGAGATATCTATTTATTAAGTATTAAACGCACGTGCTCTTGTATTTTTACTTTTCCAGCATAGCTTTCTCTTAAAATATGTCTCGTGCTGCATTGCAACAGAATATAAAACAATTTAATTATAATTCTACTAGAAAGCTCGGCGGTCATATGAAAGGACCGGTGTTCTAGATATTATAAATTGCAATTAAAATGATATGTGCAAAGGTGTCTGCTAAATTTTGTTGCAAAATGTAACAAAAATTCAAACTGAATTATCCAGGGCAGGCGGCGAGGACGTCCCTTTACTTGCTGCCCGACGGGGTTTCCCCCCTTCTACTTGTGTAATTGCTTAAAGTTAAGTACAATGAAGGCAAGCAAATGTTCACCTTCCCCCTGACATGCTCAATTTGCATTCAGTTGTAAACCATTTAAAAAACAGATGATTGCTAATGCAAACAAATGTTCACGTTCCCCCTGACACGTTCAATTTGCATTCAGCTGAAAATTTAGTTTAAAATACAATGTCGAAATAAAATCGGGCAAAATTTAAAACTCTTTACGCGAAAGGATATTTAGCATAGGAATTTGGGTAAACCTACCTGATGAGATGTACTACGCACAACTCGTTAGTTGGTTCCGTCTCCTTTAATTTCTAAACGTTTGCATGTTTCTAGGTAATTCATATGTAAATATAGTTAAATGCATAATAAGCAACAATTGTATGAATTAAAAATATTTAAATATTCTAAATACCATAATAATTTAATTAAAGCAATGATAACTGCATGTATGGTATCAGTGTATGCCGTGGCAACTTCACCCCATTGGCTAGTACACTTACAAAAGCATTCAGTAAACTATCGGCGACAAACGGACACTTAAGTCGCATATAATAAAGATTAAAAAAATATCTAATTAAATACAAAATTCGTAACAGTATTTTGTTTTTAACCTGTTTGTGTTATAACCTGATATTTTTGTATAAACATCAAGTTAAATAGTTTATAAATTATGCAAAAAATTCAATTCTTAATAATCATTGTTCTAATTCATAATATCAATGTACTCCAATACTTCACTCCTATATTCTTATACAAATACCAGAAAATGTATTGAAAACAAAATCTTTAAAATAATAAGAAAGTAGTGCTTTTATAAATGCATATTTAAGCTTTATGTGTTGTTATTACAGATTACTAACTTCATATAATTTAGACATATAATTTGTGTGATGTTTACAGTTAAAATAGATGAACATTACAGTTTCTAATAAAATTACATTTAATTACATTTCGAACATGTATGCACGTTTTAAATGTAATCCATTTGTTTAATACCAGATGGTATATGTAAATGGAGTGAACAGTGAAGGTTTGTGGTAGTATAAATGTTTCAAATAACATTATTAAATTTTAAAGATGACCAAAGTTTCCGTATTTTTATGCTTATTAATATTTATTTGTTTATTGATTGATTAGTTGGAAATGGTTGCCATGGAAAATCCAAATAATTTGAAAAAGCAACTTGTGGTAGAATTTGAAGGTGAGCAAGGAATAGATGAAGGAGGAGTTTCAAAAGAATTTTTTCAACTTGTTGTTGAAGAAATATTCAATCCAGACTTTGGTATGTCTTTCTTATGCAATTTTCTGATAAATTACCTGATTTTATGTGTTAATTACTATATATTTTCACTCAACTGAAATTTATTATATGCTTTTACCCCTCATTTGTGTTTATTCTTTACACCTAAACACAGATATCTTATTATGCACGTTTTCTTCTGACAAATTATCCAATTTTACATTCTGCGAAGTTATATATTTATTATATATTTTCATGTCTCTCAAATTTATATATTTTTCTCCCTCTAGCTATGTTTACCCTTAACCCAGAAACACAGATGTATTGGTTTAACCCTACTTCATTTGAAAGTGATGCCCAGTTTACCCTCATTGGGATAATTTTAGGTCTGGCCATTTATAATAACATAATTTTAGATGTACATTTTCCTATGGTTGTATATAGAAAATTGATGGGCAAGAAAGGAACTTTCTATGATTTACATGATTGGAATCCTGTAAGTATAAATTTTATCTGAGGTGAGTTTATCTAATATTTGTTGCAAAATGTAACAAAAATTTGAAAGACCTTATTAAGAGGTTTCTGTAATAAAGTTTATGTTAGGTCCAAAGTAGTTTCTCAGCACTTTCTTAAAAAAATTTAATCCGTTTAAATTAATATTATTTATTTATTGCCATGTGATTTAGTTAAACTTAATTTTTTATTATACCTGCTAATAAAATTAGGTTTGAGATATTTGGATATATATACATAGCGTATTCGGAAACTAAGTACCGTTCGTTTCATTTTAGCGCTGTGGTAGGCATCCCACGCATGCGCACTAGTTTTTCTTGTTCACTGACTTTCAATTGTCGCCATTTTGGTTGCTCTATGTTGTGTTTCAGTTTGCTGTGCACATTCAAAATGTTTAAGACAATTAGTTCTCCCACTGACTGTGAGATTCGTGCTGTGATTAAATTTTTGAATGCGAGGAATGTTAAACTGGCCGAAATTTATCGTCAAGTGACAGAAGTTTACGGTGAATACGCGATAAGTGATGGAATGGTGAGAAAGTGGGTAAGAATGTTTAATGCAGGTTGAACAAATGTCCACGCCGAGGCTCGGAGTGGTCGGCCTTCTGTTGTCGCCGATGGTTTGGTAAAGAAAGTTGATGAAGCAATTCATGAGAACAGACGCTTCACAATGACAACTCTTTCAGAGGCATTTCCACAAATTTCACGTACTGTTTTGTTCGAAATTGTGTCTGACCGCTTGAATTATCGCAAACTGTGTTCCCGATGGGTTCCAAAAATGCTCACTGATGTTCACAAAACAAAGCGACTTGGTAGTGCCCTGACATTTCTCACGCGGTACAGTGATGAGGGAGAAAACTTTTTATACCAAATTGTGACAGGTGATGAAACTTGGGTGTGTCATTTCACACCAGAATCGAAACAACAATCGATGGAGTGGAGACACACTCATTCTTCGAAAAAACAAAAGTTCAAAGTGACAATGTCATCACAAAAAATCATGTGCACTGTCTTCTGGGATAGGAAAGGTGTTTTGCTTACTGAATTTCTTCCCAGAGGGGAAACCATTAATGTGGCACGATATTGTGAGACTTTAACAAAACTAAGGCGTGCCTTTCAAAACAAACGAAGAGGAATGCTCAGTAAAGGAATTGTGTTGCTCCATGACAATGCTCGGCCCCATACTGCTGGTGTCACTCAATCGTTAATTCGACAGTTTCATTGGGAGCAGTTCGATCACCCGCCGTACAGCCCGGACTTGGCGCCGTCCGACTATCACTTGTTCCTGCACATGAAGCGCGAGCTTGGTGGCAAGCGCTTTGGATCTGACGATGACACGAAAAATGCTGTAGTTATCGAAACTGGCGGGAAGTTTCTTTGACGATGGTATACAAAAACTGGTCACCTGCTATGACAAGTGTTTGATCATTGGCAGAAACTATGTTGAAAAATAGTTTAAGACATGTATTTTCATGTAAAATTAAAATTGGATTCGAAAAATTGTTTTACTATTTTTTTTATTTCTATTTATTTATTTATTTATTTATTTATTTTTTCAAAACGGTACTTAGTTTCCGAATACGCCTCATATAAAGGAATATTTTGAAATTACATTAATTTTGCTGCTTTCAGAGTAATAGTGCAGTAACTTAGCATATTGTAGCATATTTTTAAAGCTGCTTTATTCTCATGTACATTGTAAATTTCTAAATTATAACTGTTCATGCAAGAACAAAGGTATATCTAGGATTAGGGCACTATTCTGGTGCACACTGAATGTTGATTTTAATCCGAGGTTTTCAATGAAGACAAAAATTTAATTGTTTCTCAGAGTTCCCTGATAAAGGCTTGCTGTGAACGGAATGTACACTACAAAAGCCCACAAAATTAACCCCACTGCAATAATAGCATAAGTGACAAGCCCATGCTGATAAAAGCCTACATGAATAAAAGGATATATGGTTTTTATGAGTAAAAATTGTATTTGTGATTATAATTGTAATAAATGGAGTTTTTGAGTCTGATTTTTGATGTCTCAAAAATGTCTTTTTCTTTATTATATCACTATTTTATGTGCATTTTTTATTAAATTGAAAATGGGCATTTCTACTTTCTAGCTTAGTTATTATGTTTAGATGATAAAATGCTTCTTGTATCAAATTTTCAAAGAGCTAAAGTGTGTATATATAATTTGAAAAAGAAAATTAATGTGTTAAAAATAGCTGTGTTTAAAGGAATTCCTACAAATTTGAAAATAGTATAATATTTTAAAAAGATTGTCATCTGAGAAAAATCAAAAATTATACAGTTGTCATAAAATTAAAATAAAAACAAGAGTTTTATTCTTTAACCCTTTCAGGATGGGCGTCATCACATATACGCATTCCCTAAGAACATCTCTTACAGCCGGGCATCCCATCCACGCATCAGTAAAGATCGCATTCAGAGACGGGTGATGCATATACGCATTTTAAGGTGGAAGGTTTTTCTGAAGGCCACTAGATGGCATCCTGTGTCTATTACTTTTGAAATGAACACAGTTTTAGGTTCCTGGCCTTGAGTTTGATATATTCTGCTTGACTTTGGTATTTTACTCATCAGCTGTTCGAGGGTGTGGGGGGCGGAGGGAAAGCGTAAACAGAGGTGGGCTCTTTAAATTGCTGCGTACTAATGAAAACATTCTCGTATCTGATTTATATCCAATTCCTTTTTTTATTCTATTTTTTCCTCTAATATGTATGGTCTTTTAGGGTTACTGTGCGGAGTTTTTTTTACGTTTTGCATTGCCTTCAGATATATTTGCGTTCCTACTTTTTTTATTTAGGAAAGCCTCACCTCCAGTCTATTATGGCGGGAAGGCATTATTTATCAGAGGAAGAATACCGTCATATGGTTAGTGAACCATTTACTAACACAAATGAGAATACTGATTCATTTTCTAAAAAGTTAAAAAGTGATACTTTTTCTAAGAGTTACAAAGTGATACTTCTCTGTGCTTTGAGATTTACCACACTCGTTTTCATTTTAAATTTTCTTACTTCTTACCGTAAATAGTCTTTATTGTGTTCTTTTTATTAATTTTTAACTTTATTGATGGATTTTAACAATTAAAACTTTGGAATAATTTGAATAGCGCTTCTGAAAATTATTTTAGAAGATAAGCAATTTTTTAAGTGTATTTTCATGTAAAATAAAAGAAAAAAATGTTTTAAGGGCTAAGAGCTCAAGTAATAATCTAAAATGATACCAAAAATTACGATGCTAGAAGCAAAACTTTTGTTTTTCTGATTTTTGTTATAAAATTAGGCTTAGTGATGCAAAACCTCCGTCCTGTACAGTGACTGCCTTCGATTCTCTTCCGTCCTGCATGAGCGTCTTAAACAAAAGTGCGCCGTCGCGAAAAGGTTAAGAAATTTGCCACAGCATCAAAAATTAGGAGTGTAATTTAACATTTGGTATCTTAGGGTGTAAATTATCATTGCAAAATTACCAGATTTATTAATTAATTATAAGTACCAGATATGATGGGACATTTGTAAAAGCAGTATTCTTAAGATCAGAAACAAAACTTTATCATTCCTACTGAGCATTTTCTTTTAAGTTTTTTTTTTTTTATCCTAGAATGTTATCCTCAAAGATTCTGTCTTATATCATAGGTCAAGAACTGAAAGAGGATATTAAAATAAACTAAAAACAATTTATAGAATGAATTATTTCTGTAACTATAAAATAATTTATTTTGTTTTTTGATTAAATAACACTTCCGTCATTTTCTTATATTGAAACATTAGGAATAATTACTTAGAGCCCATCAGCAACTGAGCAGTAAAGTCGCGGACGACTGGTAGTTCGGTCTGAGGTTCAAATCCCATCAAATGGAGTAGCTGCATAGGTGTTTTTATGGTTTTCCCTGTGTTTAATGAGTATATGAGCCAGTTTCCCTTAGAAAACCCTTCATAAAGGGATCCCTCCCGTTAGGCTGTTAGCCCTCCAATACTTGTAATTAAATAAACCAGACCAAACCAAGATAAGATTAGTGTTAACTATATACTGTTAAAAATAACTTTTAAAGAACTTCACGGTGATATTTTTCATTTTCGCACACAGGCACATGCAAGGTAAATAAAGAAATATCAATGAAAATAATAAATAAATTTTCAGATTTATCTCTGAAAGATTATAGCTAAGTATTTAATTAGCAAGAAGAGAAGCATGTTTTCCATAATAAACAAAGTAATGCTAAAATATATAAACATATACAAACATTAATTATACACAAAAAAGGATAAATTTAGAACCAAAACAGTAAAGAAATGAAATATAAAACCTGCACAATCCCAAAATCTCTCAATAAAAATGTAAAAAGACCTTTCAACTTAGTGTATTTCAACCAGAAGAAACCCTGAAAACAATTGAAATAAAAAGAAAAGGAAGAGAAACACAATCAAAATCTAATTCAACATTATCAAGACAAGGTTGATCAGATCTCAATTGAATCTCCTTCTTAGGAAAATCACTGTGTTTCTATTCACCCAAAATTAGCTGATGAACTATTTTAAATTTTAATCATTATAATTCATGCATGAATTTCGAGTGTCTCCTCTACACAGTCACTTGCCTTTCAGAAATGCATAAAAATAAATTTAAATGAAATAAATTCAATTTGCCTAATAAAGAAAAAAGTAATACAGTCAAAAGTCTTTTATCCGGACTCGTCAGGACTTCGCAGATTCCGGATTATCGGTTTTTCCGGATTATAGATCATATATTTAAATCTGGTAAGATGGCATGCAGAAATTATAAAATTAAAAATATGAAACTGTAATTTATGAAATAAAGAGCAATTATGATCTAAAGGGTCACCCCCCCCCCCCCCCCGCCGCCAGAGCAGCGTGAAATTTATAAACAGATTTCGGAGTGGTTAGAGAAACAAAGGACATGCGTTTATCCATTTTTTGCAGCAAATCGAAACATGCTTTCGCTT